ATAAAAGCCTGATGGGAAAACCTACTGTGAGCACCAGCCTTTGTCCTGAGGTGGCCGGGGGTGTGGGGCGGGGCAGGCAGCCTCTGCACCCCTAATGGAAAGGGTGGGGGCCTGGCTGGATCACGCCACGGTCCGGGGTTGGACCCGGGTCATTCGCTGCTCAAGAGAAGCCAACCCCACATGGAGAACATGGTCCCTGGACAGGTCGGCCTGAAATACTCCGAGTGCCCAGGACCTGGCGGGCCAGAGGAATGGAGGGAGGGGATCGTGGCATGGCCAGGCCCTGCAGAGGCTGCTAATCTCTCTCATCACGTCTGCACACCCGCGATCTAGCTCAATAAAGCATTTTTTAGAATTATTTAATCCCATTTGGTTTTTCTTTCTTTTTTTTTTTTTGGAGAGGTTTTTGCTATAGGGTACGTGCACTCACTAGAAAGCCAGAGAGAGACTGAGAGAAATAAAGCAAGAAATCACCCCCCAGGGGGGATGGCCACGCCTCAATCCCTCCTCCTCCATTCTCCTCTTGGGATCTTGGGCACACATGAATATGCGGCCGGCGTGAGTTTAAGCCACCGGGTCCAGGACTTGAACCATGGTTCACAACATGGGAGTCCAGCGACATAGCCATTACGCTAACTGCTGGTCTCTAGATGATGTAACTTTCTGATGAAATATTTCCACATGTTGTATCAGGAACAGAGAGCTGTACATATACTATTAACTCTATTTCTGTCATATATATTCTTCTTTTCTTTGTTGTAAAACTTAAGCTGTACTTCATCCTCTTAACTTCAAAAGTCTAACATGAAAATGTAAATATTGTTCTATATGAATTTAAGTATAATTATTTGTATATCTCACTGTAACAAATGTTTGTTACTATAATAAAAGTGCAAATCAAAAAAGAAAGAAAGAAAGAAAGCTCTCGTGGAATCACTCTTCAATACTTTTGTTTGCATGGCTGTATACACTGTAGAAAGATTCAGTTAAGCAAGGAGAAATCAACCAGGCTCTTATAGACAAGTACTGCACACTCTGACTGCCAGTGCCCTGCTGTCTTGGTTATGACAACATTGCAGCATATTTTGAAGTTCAGTAATGAGAGACTCTAGGCGAACCACGGTCGACTACGTGGGAGTCCAGCGACATAGCCATTACGCTAACTACTGGTCCCACAAACCCAAGTTTTCAGATAGGAATGCAGAGGCCAGTTCCCGAAGGCCAGCGTGACCCAGACTGTGTTCCCAGCAGGACAAGCTGTCCCTCCTCCCCACAGCCATGAGGATAGTCAGCGAGTCTGCACCCCTGCCCGTCACCCCTGCCCACCTGGTGGGCTCCGAGCTCACCCCAGCTCACTAGAAACCCCACCTCCAGATTATCAGCAAACCCAGCTCGCTTTTCCCTTTATGGAAAAAAAACAGACACAAATTTATCAGCAGTAAGAACGAGGCCCCCCAAATGCCTAAGATTTAAACAAAATCCCACAGATAGCAGTTTTAGAATTAATGAGAACAAAAAAAAAAGTGAGAAAAGTAAACAATCTTTTGCTTTAAAAATAGCTTTTGCCTGTAGTGGCTTCTGGGTGGCGAGAGAGCTTCTTTATCTTGTACGTTTTCTATTCCAGGCACCGATTCCTTTTTATTAAGCAGCAGATTTTCTAATTTAAGATATCGGCACATTTGATAGGCTCGGGGGGGAGGGTGGAGGGTGTGATTCTGGATTGAGAACGTGTTTCCCGGAGAAATGGAGGAGGAAGCGCAGGGAAGTAAGAGCTGCCCCAGCCCCGCGGCCGTGAGCGGGAAGGTTTCGGAGCACCGTCCACACGGCGTGCAGTATGCGGTGGGTCGAAAGCACAGCTTGGGGATCGGGGCGTGCACATCACTTTGCAGCCTGATCCCCCCGTCCCCCACCGCCCCCCCCACCCCGCGACAATATGTCAGGAACATCTTTCTGTGCCATTAAATATTCCACAGCCTGTCTTAATATCTGATTAACATGTAGTTCCTTCTCGAAGTTTAGGGATGCGTTCGTGGATGGAAGCCATCCCTCATTTCTGGGGTCATTTCTCAGCAGACTAAGAGCCCACCTTCCGTGAGCCATCCGCAGTCTTCTGGTCTGGGGCTCTGCAGATTTGTTGGCTGCCTTGGGCATGAGAGGGTCTGTCCTTTCTATCGGAGGGGACCCAGGAGGGTGGGGACCCTCGATGTAGCTTCCTCTAGCTAAGATCCTCTTGAAAGAGGAGAGAGCACTGCAGGGGAGGGAGGTGGCTTGCACAGGGGTGCGAGGGTGGCAGGTGGGGGCTCATCCACCGGGCAGATACTGGCCTGGCCCCAGCTTGCAGAGGAGAGCTGCCCAGTGATGGTCCAACCAGAGCCTGCGTGGAGGTGCCCCTCACAGCCCTAGGGGTCTCACAGTAGACCCCTCCCCGGGGCGTGCCAGCCCAGCCCTGCCATCTGCTCACGTGGCCCCCCGGGGCCCTCTTGGCAGCCATGGCTCAGCCCCCCGGGGAAGCTGTCAGCACAGCTAGACATAGTGAGATCCCCGGGCTGGCAGAGCAGGGGCAGGAAGGAGCCGTCTGAAGGCCTGCGTGGGGCAGCCTCGGTCTCCCTTTGGGCCTGTCTGCCCTTCCTAAGTCCTGTCCAGCTGACTCGAACTCCTTCCAATTCAGCCCTTCCTCTCTGCTCCCTCTCCGGCTCAGCCACGACCTGGACCGTCTCTTGGCAGCCTCCTCCTTCGCTCAATTGAGTTCTCACCAGTGCATTCCACGGTCACTGTGCAATCACCTGACTACCCGGGCTCCACTCTGGGGCCTCAGCACTGACCCTTCCCACAGTCGGCCCCTCAGCAAGCCCATGCACGCAGCTCCAAACTCAGTCCAGACCCCGCCACTTGCAGTCCCTCCCTCCATGACCCATCCTGGCTGGCCACCATTCTCCCCTGGACTGTGGCAGGGCCTCCTTGCTGGCCTCTGCTCCTCCCATGTCCCCCAGAGTTACTGTCACTCACTGTCCTCCAACAGCTCCTTACGACAACTCAAGTTAAGCCTGGACTGCAGACTTTTGGCTTAAGAGGCCCTTCGCCATCTTGCCCTGCTCTACCCAGCAGCCTTCGTCCTGGCTGCTGCTGCTGCGTAACAAACAGCCCCGGCAGCCAATGACTTAACACAGGAGCAGCCATTCATTTTGCTGACGCATCTACAGTCAGAGCAGAGGCTGGCAGGAAGGCTTGTCCCTGTGCCAGCAGGTACCAGCTGAGGCAGTTCAGCGAGGGCTAGAAGGTCTGATGTCTCGATGGTACACTCAGAAGGTGGCAAGTTGGTGTCAGCTGCTACTCTTCCTTTAAGGTCAAAAGCCACCTCCTCCTGGGAGCCGTCCAGATCTCAGGATGGGGTTAAGCAGCTCTCCTGTGCCCCAGCCCCTCACACTAAGCTGTCTCCCAGAGCCAGAGCAGGCCAGGTAAACAGTGTCAGCAGATGGCCATGGGAGCCCTAACAGGGACATCCTCGAGCCTCGGCCAGCGCCCAGGCCAATGTGCAGATGAAAATAAAGAACTCTTTATTGATAAATAGAGTACAATAAATAAACAGAATGCTGGCTTGTGAGGGAGGAAAAGCCCAGAAAACCTCACAGGCACCCAGTTCCGCTCACGGAGCTAGGACCCAGCTTCTAGCTCTGGGCCACGGCCCTCTTTCTTTTTGGTCAACTTAGAGGCCGAGGCCTTGGAGGGCAGTGCAGAGCTGACCGGGCCCTTGAGGGCGACCGTCTTCCTGGCCGGTGGCTTGAGTCCCGTCCTGGAGCCTCGGGCCTCTGGAGGGATGTCTTCCTTGGCTTTGGGCCCCTCCCTAGGCCCTGGGGCAGCTGCCCCTCTGGGGACCATGGCTACTGCCTTTTTGACCTATGAGAGCCAGCCAGGCACAGGGGTCAGCTGGGCGGGGCGGGGCGGAGCACAGCAGGTATGGACATGGGGTACCCCTCTAAGCCTCAGCCCCTTATCAGCAAAGTGGGCTGACGGGACCCCAAGAGTGCCAGAGGGCCAGGCAGGAGAAGGTGGGCTGTGTTTTGGAAGAAAAGGAATTTACCCCACCTCCATGGCAGGCCAGTGCGGGGTGGATGAGGAACACCCAGGGCCTGCCCAGAGCAGGGAAGGCGCAAGCTACCTACCTTGCCGGCTGTGGGTTTTGAACTCGCAATCACAGTCTTGGGCTCCCTGTGGGACTCAGCACCTCCTGGAAGTTGGAGGGGGAGGGTGGTCATGTGTGGACTCTTTTCAGGAGTCGCTGCTTGTAGGGCAGGAAGGCCCGGGGCTCCAGAGCCCCCGTCCTGCCTGGGCCCCAGGTCCTCACTCAGACACTTACAGGTTGTGTGGCTTAGGGTGAGCCGTTAGCCACCCTGAGCCGCAGTGCCCGGGCCTACAAATGACATGAGCTCCCTCATTGGCTGGCTGGAGCCAGGGCACCCCTGCTCCGTGCCTGCCCTCGCCCAGGGCTCTCGTCAGGCCTAGCAGCCTCGTCTTTAGTTTATCTTCCACGGAGCCGTCAGGATGCCTAAAAAAAGGGACTCCGAACCTAGCTGCTCCCTGCCAGAATCCTTCCATGGCTCCCCATTGCCCTCCACATCACGTGCAGACTCCAGGCTGCCCTTCATACATCTCCCTTCCAGCACTGAAGACGGACGGAACCATCTGCAGTCAGTCCCTCAGAAGCTCCTCTTTCTTGGGACCAGGTGCCATGGTGGTTAAGGGCGCTGGACTCCCACGTGGCCGACTGTGGTTCGAGTCCCAGACCTAGCAGCTTGCTTGCTTTGTCATTTTCTCTCTCTCACTCTCTTGCTCTGTCCCTCTTTGGTCAAATTAAAATAAATAAATAAATAAAGTTAAATAAAATAGTTATTTAAGGGACCAGCAGTTGGCGTAATGGCCATGTCGCTGGACTCCCATGTAGTCAACCGCGGTTCAAGTCCTGGACCCAGTAGCTTAAACTCATGCTGGGCACGTGTGCCTCTCCAAAACAAAAACAAAATAAGAAATAGTTCTTTTTTAAAAAAATAAATAAACTCCTCTTTCTTTAGGGCTCCTGCTCTTTGCACAGGCTGTTATACCCAGGAGGCGTCCTGGGCATCCTTGTGCCTTAGGAGTGAGTCCTGAGTTCTCCGTGCCTCCCTGCTTCCCATTCGCACGTTCCGACCCTGCCCATCAGCCGTGGAGTTCTGTCCCTCCAGGTGAGGCCGATGCCAGGGCACATGCACCAGACCAGGAAGCCCTCCCGGTCCCCCAGCCCCAGCCGGAGCTCTGGGCTGCGGAGGCTGCGGTCCCCATGCACCCACCTTGGCTGCTGCCCTCCATGCCCGTGGGCTCCCCGCGGGGCCGGCTGGCTCCGGAAGGGGACCGCTTGGCCTTGTCTGGTTTGCGGGGGCCTTTCCCAGCTGCGCCCGGCTCTGCCTGGATGCCCCTGGCCTGGCTGCCATCCGGGGGGGCTCTCTCCCTGGTTGCTGCTGGTTTTGAGGGGGCCTTCCTTTCATCTCCTGGCTTCCTGGCCACACCCTCCACCTTTCCCGTGCTGACTGGCTCCTGTGCTTGGCTTGGTTTGGGGGGGCCCTTCTTCTTGGCCTCCCCAGCACTCTCGGCCAGCCGGCCGGGCTTCTTCCTGGGCTGATTCTTCTTCTTGCTGTCGGGAACTAACTGGAGGGAGAGACAGGGCGGGCTGAGGACAGGAGCTCTGGGTGTCCCGGGCCCGCTCTAGAAGACTCCAAGAACGAGGCTCCGTTCCCAGCAAGGGGGCGAGGCAGGTGGAAGGGAACAGGAGACACTCAACACCTCCCAAAGGCCTGACGCTGCCTTTCGCGCCCGTCCTCAGAAACGTCAGTCTACAAGTCTCGCTCATTCGCTTTTTAAAATCATTATGATTGGGACCAGCAGATGGCGTCATGGCTATGTCGCTGGACTCCCACGTAGTTGACCGCAGTTCGAGTCCCAGACCTGGTAGCTTAAACTCACGCCAGGTGCATGTGCGTGCGTGCCCAAGATCCCGAGAGGAGAATGGAGGAGAAGGGCGGGCGGGGTGGACATGTGCCGTGGTGATTTCTTGTTTTCTGTCTCTCTGTCTCTCTCTGGCGAGTGCATGCGCCCTATAGCAAAAACCTTTCCAAAGAAAAGGTTATTATTATAGAGAGATTTTTGCTGTAGGGTGCGTGCACTCGCCAGAGAGAGACAAAGAGACAGAAAGTGAGGAATCACTCTCCCGGAGGATGCCCACACCACAATCCCTTCTCCTCTCAGGAGTTTGGGCACCCACGCGCATGCGCCTGGTGTGAGTTTTAAGACACTGGGTCCAGGACTCGAACCGTAGTCAGGCTACGTGGGAGTCCAATGACGTAACCATTGCACCATCTGCTGGTGCCACTCACTTGCTTATAAGACAGGGTCTGGCCATGTCCTGATCCCCCTGCCTTGGCCTCCCAGCAGGGACCACAGGTGTGCACACCCACGCCCAGCTCTCTTTCAGACAGGGCCCACCATGCTGCCCAGGCCAGCCTCGAACTCACGCTCCTCCTGCCTCAGCCTCCATGAGTCACTGGGATTAGAGGCCCACACCACCTCCCCTGGCCTTTAGGTTAGAGCGGGCATCGAACCTGTGCCTCCAAGGTGGCCCCAGCCATGAGCACAGGTCTTAGGAGCACATGCCACCGAGGCTGGGGCCAGGTGGGTCTCTTCTGACCACTCTCAGCCCTACGTGTTCCCATGGGTATGGGTTAGGGTTTCTGACTTCTCCTCATTCTCCCCCATCCCCAGGCCCTCCCTGCCTCACCCCTCCACGGCCCAGAGCACAGGCTCTGAAGACAGACAGATCTGAGGTCACGGCCGAGCTTTCTCTCCCGTCCACGGGCCTCTGTCTGCTCACCTTCGCAGTGGGAGCCATCAGAGGGCGGGAGCGGCAGGGTGGACGGGACCTTCTACACCCGCGTCTATAGCTCTCCATCCCG